CTGTCCACAAATTTAGAACGGAGTCCCACAGTGAACTGCACTCCAGGTAAGCACTACGTTTAAATTGTGCAGGTGATGTGAGGGATCCAAGGCTTTGAAAAGGTTAGCTCAGAGAAGACCACCACATACTTAAACCCTGGTTTATACACTTCCACTGAAGGTTCCCAAATTAAACTTGCCCAAATATCCCCCTCGAATCAGTTTCTCCTACTATGAATGAAAAGCAGGGGTTGTCCAGAAATCCAGTGAACAGATCTGAGCAGAATTCTTTCCTACATGGTTTCCCTTCCATCAGTGCCTGCCTTCTATCAGTTATCAAGCTCTTTCGAAAGAATCCTGGCCACCCTATCTGGCCATTCCTCGATCTCCGATCTCACTGCCTCTTGCTTTGGTCCAGCTTCATTTTCCTCAATTACAGAAACCTCCTCAACTTTCTACTGGTTTCCACCTCCAGAATTCCCTGTCCCATCCACATTATGAGCTATCCTCTCTCTGGCTGCAAGGTCCTACTTCTAATATTCTGATGGAAGCAGGCCATCCTGCAGCTGAAATGCTTCTAATAGTTTTCACTAACTTTGAGATAAAACTCTTAACCCATATGAAAGCTTAGCTAGTTCGGCTTTCCCCTCTCCAGACCGCTCTTCTATCTGCCCTGAACACTTAAGCCATAGAATTTACTTGGCTGAACTCTCTCACCACCATGCCTTCACCTATGCTATTCCCTCTGTGTACCTTGTATATTTGGCTGACCTGGAATCACCCTCCAAGACTCAGCTTCAGGCTTCATCTCATGACTTGCTTCTGCTTTGAATTAGAGCCCTCCTTAGTCACCAAACAGGGCAGGTCTCTAAGACAATGTATTTCAATAGCAGTGCATCTATCTGCAAAGAGAGTGCCTGTTTGCTTCTCTCTGTGAAAGTGCATCCCTTGAGGCAGGAGCCATATCCCTCCCCTTGCCTATGTCTCCCTAGTAGTTAGATCAAAGCCAGTCTGCACAAGTGCTTGAAAAAGTCAACTGACTTGAATGAGGGCAGAAGTGAAACCTGTTAAGCAGTCCTTCTTTTCTCTCTTGCTCCATGTAACATTGTCACATTACTCATAGCAGTCCTGACGCTTTCACCTGTCTTTAGGTGTATAATTTATTCGTTCATCCTTTCTGAAAACATGATGCATTATAATATGAGGGACAAATATGCTCCCACCACCAATGGTCTTCCTTCTATCGGGGATGGTCATCCTCTTCGACCGAGCGCGCAGCTTCGGGAGGGACGCACATGGATCGGTGAGGGAGGAAGGGGACACCCGCCTAGCCAGCCAGATCAGCTGAATCAACCCTGGCGATCAATGGGGTGACAGATGCCGCAGCCAGATCGCCCTCACATCCTCCCACCACCAATGGACTTCACCATTTTCCTTTCCTGTCCTTCGAGGGAATTATGGGGAATATCTGTGCTTTTTACCTCTTGGCCAACTGAAGACTTTGTGTAAGAGGGAAGAGGGCAGTGTTGCCCAGGGAAAGAAGAATATTGTAATTTATTACCAACCAAGATAGACTTAAGAATCGTTCTCCTGGGATAAGTCACAGTGAAGTTTTTGAAAAGAACAAGGACAACTGAATTTAGAAACCACATCAGCAATGTTTAGTCCAAACATGTATAACCAGGAGCCTCCATGAAGAATGTCGTAGGAGGAAAATTTCATATTCTGGTTCCAGTTTGATAGTCTCCTGGGTTAATTCCAAGTTGAGTCGACAATTCTATATCTTTATTAGCCTGAAATCCCAACCCCAAGGGATATCCAATCTGTGCTTCAGAGAAGACTTAGATAGTCAGGATGGGGATTTTACTATAAAAGGAAAAACAAAGCCAAGGAAGCAGATGATGCTAATCCTTGAGAGCAGAAGTTGGTCCACCAGAACTCAGCGATGGTCCCTTGTAGGTTGTGCAGACATCAAGACAGAAAGAGGGTCAAGTTGATGTAAATGGAAAATAAAAAGAGGAAGAATGCTTCCTAGGGAGCTTTATGCCACACTGTTGACCTAAGAGAGGAAGACTCTCGATGAGATGGATTGATTCAGTGACTAGGGTAATGGGGGTAGGTGTGTCAGAGACAATAAGATTGGCACAGGATAGAGCAGGGTTTAGGGCTGTTGTACATAGAGTCACTATGAGTTGCAGATGACTCAACAGCACATAACAACAACTTGATCCAAGAGACACATTCTTCAGAGACAAAGTGTAGCCAAACCTGGCCAACCTGTCTATATATATATATAAAAAAAAAGGATCAAATGAATACAGTGTTTTATCTAGGTCTTTACAGCTTGTCAACAAAAAAGATGAAGTCATATAGAATTCAGTTATGGTGACCTTTCCCATCCGTTACTTATTTTCCTACTAGTTTATTTAGTTATGGTGAGGCTCTAAGAGGAAGAGCTGGCTCTTTTTGAAAGTATGCCATTTGATTTCATGTTTTATTTTCAGAAAGTAAGAATTAATTTGGAAATTTATGCCACTGCTTCATTTTGGGCATGGGAATCAAATGATGAACTCTTAGGATGGGCGATTTCGTCAATGTTCTTCTAGGCAGCCATCTTGACTAACTCTGGATGACCATTAGTGGTGGACTTTTCATGGCAAAAATGAGGATGAGGCATTTGCATTGAATAACTCTTTAAGTATGGACATCACATCTGACCTGCCAACTGAACTGCAAATACGGTACACTTTCTCCAGAAAGAGCATCTTTCATCCTCTATAATAGCTCTTCCTTCAATGCTTTGTGTCAATTAATTTGCTAAAGACTTTTTACTTTGAACTCTGGAAAGAAAACCTGTAGCTCAGGATAGTTTGATAGGCCAGCAGAAGATAGAAAAGGCTTCTCTGTCTTCATTAATCATCAGATAGTCTTACTTTTCTGACCGTCTTTGGGCATATAGGGAAAATCTGCATGTTGGGCTCATCCTTTGATTGAGGAAGCACTCTTCATCAATTCCAAGGAAAAGAACTGAACCAGTTAACAGATGGGTTGGTTCTTCACTGAGCTTTGGAATAGTTTAGCTTTTATTTGAAAATCAGAGTAAAACATTTGTTCCATTTTCCTCTCACTCACTTCTCATTAAAAAATAAAAACCAAACCCCAAACTATTCTCTTTATTCATTTCCTACACTTCAATATTCCAGCACATGATGACCATATGTCTGCCTACTTTAGAAGAATACCTAAGTTATGCGTAAGACCTCAAAACAAACAAACAGACAGACAAACAACAAAAAAATATCTAAAAAGAAAAGAAGTAAAAGAACGAATAAAAGAAGCCTTTAAAAGACAGACAGGGAAATCAGCATTCTTATTCTGGGAGAGCTCAGTAGCCTTTTCACAAGATCTCTTTCCTACAAAATCTTTAATATAGGCAATTAGACAATTAGAACAATATCATATGCTTTCTTGGAAATATCACACACACACACACACACACACACAGAGAGAGAGAGAGAGAGAGAAAGTATTTCATCTGGGGCGAAGGTAGTCCAAAGCAACAGCTGTTTCAACCTCTCTTGGTCCCTCAGGTATTTTGAAATACCATCATTACAGACACCCAGCCTGGTTTACTGACAGCGTGTCTGAGCTTCACCTGCTACCTGTCACTTGTTACTCAGCTTTGTGAGCAGAGAAACATAGTGGGAATCAAATCAGCAGCACCCACTCAGAGATTGTGTTTGCTAGCTCTTAAAAAGTATGGCATGTTTCCTCAAAGAGAAAGCAGATACACAGCTCCTAAAATAATCCATTGTTTCTGCCTGTAAAAACCCTGGGAGACCCATTTGTATCACCAGAGAAAACTATCAAGACACACCCCACGTGTGCTGAGCACTGGGCGCAGGAATCACTGAATGGGTGGTGGGCGTGGGATGCTGGCCCAAGAGCTCAGAAGAATCAAGGAACTTATGAGGGATGGATTCACTTTAGCCTCATTTTGTTGGCTACAGACTCCATTTTTCAGCCTGGTGCCTTTTACACCTGGCATCTGAGTGGTCTCAGGGCATGTTTTCTGTGCCAGACTTCAGGGATATTAACATTGGCTGTTTTCAAGGTAAACCGCAGGTCTCCCAATATCCACAGAAAGGGCCCTTTCTGAGTCTCCCACAACATTTGAGTCCCCTAAACCTAACTGGCTATTGTTTCTCTATCTGACATTGTCATCAGTGGCTCTCTGATGAGCATCTTTCCCAAAGGACCTTCCAGCCCTTGCACAGCTCCAGTCAAAAAATACAGAATGCATGCATCCTTTTTGAGCTAGCAGGTAATTTGAAGATTTCTATCTCCCAATGAGTTACCTTTAGAAGGGGGTAGATTTCCAGGGCACACTTGTTTATGCGGCACAAAGACCATTATCACCTGTATGCAAATCTGTTATCAGGCTTATAACACTTTCAGGGAGTCTAGTGGGATTTTTCCTGTTCCTTGAGCAAAGGCAGAGAAAAAGAGTGCGAAGGTTTGTTTGGTTATCAAGGAGGAAGGGAGAAAAAGAGGAAGCAACACTGTAATTCTGCAGTAGGAGGGATCTGGGGAGGAGTCAGGGGAGAAGATCCTAGGTCTTGTTTTTCTAAATTACTGACAGTCCTCTGGTCTCAGCCGTGAGGGAGACGTGGGGCAGCTGGCTTTATCAATGGGGCAGACTGAAGGCTGTATGTGCAACAGGCAATTCCCTGACTGGGAGCTGGAGCTCATTCGTCTTACAGACAAAGGACTTTAAAAAAAGGAAGGCGATGGCCTCCCTTGCTCTGGTTCCTGCTCTGCAGGTTTTGGCACGAAGTACCGGAAGGGAAATCCAAGTCTTACTCTCCAGGGTGGACCCTGGAATTTTCAAAGGGATGAGTCAGCTGCAGAAGATTTGGGGGTGGGCCCTCCTTCTCTCTTGCTGACTAACTCTTTTGACCCTCTGACTCCAAATAAAGGGAGGGACTCTGTCCCCAGAGGTTTCTCATTTAGTCACTCACCTTTCATACCACTACCTTCTTCTTGGAATGTGTTACGAGCAGTAGTCTGATCTTCTAAGTGTTCACTCCCACCACTTCCTGAAGAGGCTACACTGCTTTGTGGAGACAGGGGGGCATGATCGGAGGGGAGGCACTGGGGTCCTCTAGCTCGTAAGTCCTCATGAGACATCCATCCATGTCCTAGAGGCTGGTTTGGCACATTCATGGGTGGGGTAAGGGACACAGAGCGTTTCAAAGGGCTGTGGTGTGCCTGGCCTGAGAGAACTGGAAAAAGAAAATAAAAATGAAATAGGTTATTGCCCCCCCTTTAGCCTGGGATGCAGAAGACCCCACCACACCATTTAGCTCTGAGATATACTGCTAACCAGAGACTGCTAAAAACACCCTCCATGGGCATAGCCAGCTGAGTACAGACCTGGTGTGGTCCTCGCCTTTGGGGGCAGTTACAGAGGATGTCCCTCTTGGTGGGCTGGGTTTCTACAAGGGGGCTGCTGAACTTATTGGGTCTATGCATCTGGCTTGAGTGTCTGTGGGCCTGGATTGGGATTTAGTTCTAACTCTATGAGTGACTTGTAGCTATAGAGCCACAGGTCAGATGAGGCCTGTCTGCTTGGGGAGGCAGCCATAGGCAAAAGTAAAAAGAATGTGGGCTGGCCAACTGGAAATAAAAATGAAAACCCACGCAAACGGACATTTCTCATTTCATTTAGGAAGGGCTTCTCAAAGGGCAGGGAGGCTGGGCACTGTGTGGGATCCAGTCTCTCAGAAGGGACAAGGAAATCATCCCCTTTGAAGGACAGTTGGGGCTCGGAGAGGATTCCTGATATACTTAGGACCTAAGGGCATGGGGCACCAGCAGCTGTATGTGAAAGAGCTGATTCTTCCCCCTGGCCCCACAGGCTAATGCCAAACTTTACATTAAGGACCCTTCCAGGTAACAAGGCTCTCATTCACAAGGCGGCGGGATGTTCTCTGTCAGCGCAGGATGGTGTTGACCAGCTCGCCCAGCCCTTTAGCACAGTGAGCAACATCTGGGCAGCCCCCACTTTTAATTTCTTTTCCAGAAAAATTAGGAAAAAGCAACAGAAACTCACATATACAGCCAAATTAAATTGAGGTCATCAAGGGAGGGATTTAACCAAAATCAGCGCCGAGGGAGCCGGCGTTCCCCTTGGTTGGTTTTTCTGGGTGTGTAGAGTGACAACTTTACAAAATAAGCCTATTCATAATGTTCTCTCAGCACTGATTCCTGACAGGCCTAGTTTATTTTGACTGCTGCTGTACTAACACGGAATTGAGCCACATGCATTTTTTAAACATTTTCAGGGAAGCCATTAAATGCTGTCTCAGGCTGTATTCCCTCCAGTGTCGCGTTTGCTCCCCCTGGTCTGCACTAGTCGTTCTTTGCCAGTGTCCACTTTTCTGGGTTTCTCAGCCAGCAGACAAGACTTCCAGTGGCGGGGGTCCCACTCTTTGTCAGACTGCATTACTGGCGGGCCAAGTGTACACATGAAGGCTCAGCATCAGAAACCTACCGGGCTCCCACTTGAAATGAGGAGGACGAGAGCTGGGAGGCTGCATGTTGCCAAAAAGTGTTTTGGGGGCAACAGCAGTGTGGGGAGGCTGCAGAAAGTGACCAGGCCACAGCCATGTGCTGAGAGGCAGGCCACTTGGACCTCCAGTGGTGATGGTTCCATTTGGCCAGATGTGGCCAAAAGACAGCCTTGTGTGTGAGGGGGACCTTCCTTCTTCCCCTCCTTCTTTTGACTGTCTATCTGCAGAAAACAAAAACAAGACCCATACCTCACACTACATACAAAAACTAACTCAAGGTGAGTCAAAGACCTTGGTGAAAAACCTAAAACTATAAAGATCATCAAATAAAATACTGGGGCACATTCAAGAGTCCTAACTTCTAAGCTAGAAACTTCTCATTAACAAAAACAAAGGGAGAAAAATATGCAGCCCCCAAATTGAGAATTTGTAACCTGAGAAATGTAGATTTGGGGAAGAACCTGTCAAGGGTAAGGAATCATTACTTAAAAAATAAGCAACAAGGATGTTATTTTTAAATCAACTTTAAAAGGTTGAAATAGTTTGTACTCATAGTAAATAGTCTAGGGAAGAAACTATCAAAAAAAGGCTTCCTGGAAAATGCATTGCTGCCTAGTTGGATGAGAATTAGCAAGAGGGGGAAAAAAAACAAAAAAAGCTGAGAAAGAGGGGGAGGGAAAGGAAGCAGCAGCAAAAATGAAGAGAGAAGCCAGTAGGAAGAAAAGCCAGACATCCAGAAAATCCATTTCATGCCTGTCTAAGTATTTATATAAAATTGAGTAAACTCGTTCAGGGCTGCCCTGAGTTCTGGCAAGTTCCAACTCAGAATCTTTTGCTTCCTGGCACCTCTCCAACCACCTCGGATTATGTGTGGGTACTCTGAATGCTGTTGGGCAGGTGTGCCCCATGTAAAAAATGGGGGTTCCTCTGTACAGCTGAAATGAAAGTGAGCCGAAACCATAGAAACAAGCCTGAGCAAAGAGCTACAGCTCAGAGCGGATGGAGGCCTCAGCACCCAAGGCTGGTTGAGAGGTGATGATGTCATTGACACGTCTGGGTGCTATAACTGGACCAACTTTGACTGCTGAGAACACTACAGCACATATGTGGCATTTTAATTCCATTAGTATGGATGGAGTCAATTTGATTCTTCCCACCTGTAACATTCTTAAAATCCTTTCTACCTTACCACAGATGAGCATCCTCAGAAAAGCTGGTAGTATGCAAGCCCTCCACTGGCTTTTGGGACTGGAACAAAATGTTAGCAAGGCTTATGGGCCTTTGCTCACACAAATTAACATCCACCTCTTGGAATTCTCCAGCACTTGACTGAAGTCACAGAGGATATAGTATGACCTTGGCCTCTGTCTTGGTGCTATCAAAAATCAATTGTACCTGAGGCCTAGGGCCTTACCTCAATGACTTTTGACTAAAGGGCCCACCTATCCTAAAGAGAGCTGCTTAACTACCAAAGCTGTGGCCAAACTCAGAAATGTCTCTATGGCAGCAAGCTGCTGTGGCCTCCAAGCACAGGGCCTCACACCAGTTTCTGGTCTGCGGAGGGCGTAGATCCAGGCTGAGCACCACATCTAAACCAAAGCCATGCTGGCAAATGCCTCACTTCCCCCAAAAAACCCACTGATGAGGGTCTTCCTCTAGGAAGGATGCTGTGTCAGGTGACAGTGGTTCTGTAAGCACGGCCACTCTGGAGTGAAGACTGATCTTCAGGTTTAGGCACCAGTGACCACAAAGCTTATTTTAGTGTCACTTGCTGTGCTAAACGTGGTTTGCTTGGAATAAAGTGGCAGGGTAAACCATATATGCCATGGGCATAAAAATCCTGCAAGAAAATAGGTCACACAGTTATAGTAGAATTAATGAGGTGACCAGCAGCAGAGTGTCAATGGTTGCCCCATTGCCCCACTTTTCTTTTTCAGCATGCTTAGTACTTTCTTAAGAAAATGACCTACAATGACATTTGCCCCCTACCCCCTTGCCTTCTAATATGAGAACTAAGTGGGATTCAGGGAGTGAGGAAGGTTTGGGATGCTGGTCCCATCAGTTCCTTGGTTTCACTGTCAGGATATATGATGTATCTCATAGTCAAGAAGACAGTAAGAATATGAAAGTGAATAGTCTAGGTAACTATTCTGAAACTTGACTCTTATACCAGAAGGACAGACATAGGAAAGACCAAAGTCTATCCTTACAAATTTTAACAGAACACTTTCAAAGATAGTTTGAAAACTTCTCTGTTCTTAAACTTACATACCAAACAAAATTTATGCTTTAAAAATCACCGTAGGACAATAGGTTCATAATATTTCAGGGTTAGATGGCTGGAAATGGTCCAATTTAAAGAGGAAAAGGTAGGTCTACTGTCTGTTATAAAAAAGTAGCTATTCACTACAGAGTCAACCACTAGACAAACTACTATAGCTTCAAAGAAACTGGAGTACTCTCCGTCCATTCTCTTGGGTCTACACCTGCTTCTCATGTATATTTCAGGTCCTAACTCAAGAATGTCTTCAGAGCATCTAGAGAATCGCTGTTGAGGGTTTTCAGTGTTCAAAGAGAAGGGTTCTGCTAACATTATTTGAATGAAAAATTCCAGGCATGTGCTTTTTTTAAAAAGCACATTTTAGCAAGGCTTTAGTGGTGAGGTGACATTAGACCCCGGAATTCCTCTTCTTTGGTTTTGTGGTGTCACAACCAGTAATCTGATGCCCTGTGGTGGAAATCTTTGGGGAAGAAAAGATCAATAGTATGGCAAGTATATCTTTTTACTTTAGAAAAACAAACAAACAAACTAAAAAACCCCAACAAACCAAACCAAACCAAACCAAACCAAACCAAACCAAACCAAACCAGAGTGACATCATGCAAAAAACAAAACGAAATTTTAAACCAGTCACATGTATGGCCAAGTACAGATCTCTGTCAGTGAGGGGTGGAGTGGGGAGTATTAATTGCTACAGTTAAACTCAACATGCTTTGCCATCATTGCTTTGGAGAATAGATTAAAAGCAAATCTGGAAGGTTAAAAGCCTTAACTCTGCATGCTTGATCTTGGCCTCTTGTCCATGGGTTTGGAAACCCAGTGCTCATTACATATGGACATACAAAGAGGATTCTCCCAAACAGGCTTCGGTATTCACCTCATTCCAGAGGAAGAAGACAGAACATGCTACAAAACCGTGGCTGGTGGACAGTGTGTTCCTCTCAGCCCAAGGAGGAAACCACACACTTCTGTGAAGAGAAAATATACACTTTCCTATGTAGTAAAAAGCTAAAATGGGAACTGCAGAAGACGAGAGAGCCACAAAGAACATCACAACAGGGCTGACAAATAGACACAACTACCTCTCCTTCCCCCCATTAAGTCTCATTTTCATATGGATGGAAATGAAAGCAGAGGCGAAAACACCTGGAGAAGCTGTGCTAATACTGTGAGCTCTTGTCACTGGTGTCAGCTCTCATTACTCCACAGATGGCTCAGCCTTTGGGCAGAGCAAAGAGGTATGCTTCTGCCTTCACATTATCACTTAAACATTCGGGCTTTTAAGAAAGAAATTAGAATGTTTCTGGCAGACTTTTATTGCTGCATTAATCTTTGGTACATTTCATTTGTCCTCTTTTGTCAGACTCTAGAATGGCAAACCTGGGTGTCATCCAGTAGAAAATCTATTTTCGATAACTGCTGTTTGACT